GACCAGGAATTTTACAAAGAGGTGAAAGATATAATGGATAAATAATCCATTTGTAGGTATAATATCCTACTAATAATACCGCTAACAAAATTGATAATTCAAGCATTTTGTTAGATAATAAGATTTTTGAATCGAATCAGCTAAGTAATGGGGGGATAATAGTTTATAAAGGAAATTAAAGTCAATTTGTTACCATTATCTATTTTCCTTTTAACTGCCACTATTATTTTTCTTTTCCATATGATTTAAAATAATTTAACCGTCACCATACTCTTTTTGTTCTAATAATTCAAAGGCATTCACACCATTTTTTAAATCAAATTTCTTTTTAATACTATAATCGCCAGCCTATAGTAAATATATAAATAGTGCCGTACCAGCAGTTAAACCATTTTTAGAATCTTTAATTGAAAAATTTCCTATTAAGATCTACGTCTCGTCACCTATTATAGAATTCTTATTTGATTCATAGACAATTTATCAACTAGTTAAGTCATATAAAAACATACTGTATGTCGTAATGTTTTAATGTATGCTTTGAAGATTGTAATTGTCTAAAATAAAACCAATGAGCAGAATTTTCGGTTTATAAGATTTTTGTTTTTCATCGATTTTCAAAGCCCATAAAATTGTTGCTGCGGTTTTTCTTCAATTGTATCTTTCCGGACATCAACTTTTACGTGTCTAATGCGCATATGCATATATATTATTCACATATATGAATAATAAAATAACATTCATAACAGTTCCAGAGAATGACCCTTTGCTACAACTACTCCTGAAAAATCTAAACCAGGAATAATTGATAGTAAGAGCTTGATTTTTCCATGCGTGTACTATGACAATTATATCAATAAGATCAATAAGGTGATGTAACCTTGGGATAACTAATTTTATTACATAATTTAATATAAAACAAAGCTCTCATTTTAAGCCCTCGCGCACATTATTCTAAATAAAAACAGGAATAGTTTATTTTGGATTTACAAATTCAGGATATTTTAAAAACTGAATCGCGAAGTAACTAGATTATTTTTTTCTTTGCTTTTTCTATGTGTTCGCATATAACGAGGAAAACGATGGGTCAATCAGTTGAGCTTGCAGCTTAGGTTAAAGGCTGATAGATAGTAATAACAAATGTACAATTGTTATGATGACAAGTGATCTTAATAAAAGTTTATTGGAGCAAGACTCCATTGAATTTAAAAAAAAATTAGGTATTAGTCATGTAAAATATGACTGTTGAATGAATTTTATAAATTTATAAAAATGCATTTCATAATTATATTAACAATGATATCATAAATTTAATAAATTAAATAAATACAAATAAATGGTTTAAATGTGTTTCTACTAATCATACTTTTACAAAATTCAATTTGTATTCATTTTTTCTTTACCCAAAGTGTGATACCAGGATCTGGAATTGCTACTATACTCAATTTCTTTTTAATCACTTTTCCTTCATCCCTAAATTCAAAGTTC